ATTGAATTCTGATCGGACATTTTTACCACCATATTGAAGAGCATATTAAATACTATCACGACACTCCGCCACAGCCTTCTGGACGAGCGCCATCGAGAGATTCTGGCACGCGACCGCGATGTGGTGCCTGAGATCAGCGAGATAGTCGATTTCTCCGCCACCGTAGACCACCCTATTGAACTCCGCCCGAACCGGGTAATTGAGGGGATTCAGGTCAGGTGACCTACTTGGATATTCCATCTTTTAGGTACTCAGCCCCCTTCCATTCCAAGTAGGTACCAAGAGTATCTGCAACTGCGCCTCGATTCATGTGGCTGACACCCAACCCATGTAGCAATTAGAAGTCTCAGACGGTAAGGCGGACGTGCTAAGTGAGTGACATTCTTCACGAGGTTGCTCAATGTAAGCGCCAGCGCCTCACCGTTCACATCCCGGGGTCCACAACAGGACAATATTGCCGTCTTTTCATTTCCAGGTTTACGTCTCGTCCATACTATCAACGCGCCTGGGACACATGTGGTGAATGGATGAGTGTCCCTAGAAACCGTGGCGACGTTGTCGGAGCTCGATGTTGGAGGTCATCCAGATCGAGAGTACTGGTCTCCAGGTAGCTATCCATGGGTGACTCCATACTAGAAGTTTCGCAGCTGTTTGGAGGTGACATGAATTCCAAAGGTCTTCTCCAGTCAGGCTGCGACTGGAGATGACTTCATATTTTGGTGTACATGAAGGTGATGGGCGAGAGCCAGCTCCTGCTTATCGAGGAACATCTTGGGTATCTTCCGCCCTGGTACTCGTATCCACGTCCTCTGTCTGGGCAGCGGAAAACTTTGCCTGATATGTGATTGCGTTCGAAGGGAACTTTTTTTGCTCCCCCCCTGTTAGATTACCCTAGTAGCACACCCGCCGCCCTACATTTCCCATCCGACCTACTATCTTCCCAAAACTTCCAACTTCCTACCACATTTTCCAGTTTTGCCTTCGTGCGGGGAGGGGAGAAGATGCGTCCTCCAATCCATTACCGAGATTTAAATCATCTATAGAAATAGTGGCTGTTCAGTACGGCACCGGTTCCTAATTTCCTACCAGTTTTGTCTGTTTTCCAGTTTTCCTGAAATTTCTTTTAGTCTCCCTCGGAGATCTTTCGTTGAGTGGGCAGAGGTTTCCGCAAACTTTCCTAGTTTTTCTCAGAAAACTCTCGTCGAGTGGAGGGATGGGGGAGGGAGCAGGGTAGAGGATCGTCACCAATCAACCTTCACAAACCTTTCATTTTCAGCTGACAGAAATAGTACTCGTAGTTGAATGATAGTTCAGCACCGGCAACTAGTGGAGGGAAAACTACAATTTCTAATTTTCGATCGGAGGTCGCTGCTTCCCGCGGGCTAAGTTTCGGGAAAGGTTTGGTATGATGGGGTTGTGAGCCTGAGGTCGTATCGGAGGTGGGATTTTGGAAGAGGTGGGGGCGCGGTGACACTGACATCATCATTTCATACATCCGTGTGGCCTGTCCCGAGCAGAACGAACATACCAGGTGCTTGAAAGCCTCCAAGGTCAGTAATTCTTAGTGGAGATGCCTCAAGAAGAAAATCACATTGATCAGGACCTCAACAAGCCCGTATTACTCATTATGTCCGCACGCATTCGCGTGCCGCTATGATTCTGAGACGAAACCATTCTCTGCGATTTTGAGGGAGTCGCTGTTTTTTCCTCAAGCCTCTTGTCCCTTCGGTCCTATTCGCTGCAGATGCTGAGGCGTTTCAGGGGCTGGGGCTGAGTTTGGCGCCGCGCCAGCCTGTTCTTTTCATATCGTGTAAGCGGACAGGGAAAAGCAATTGGGGGTGGGTGGGCGGGAGAGGGGGGATGGGCTGGCTCCGCGCCAAAGCCAACTTCCCTGACTTGCCCAGCCAAGACTAGACGATGCGGTCAGATTATCCGAGTGTTACCTGGCTGCAACGAGACTTTTAGCCATAGCATCTTCTCCATGAAGCCACATACATCTGGCCATTTCAGGCCGTCGGGTGAGCACAGCCCACAGAATGAGATCGTTGAAGGGATAAGCAAAGTCCGGAGGAGTATCTGAATATGACATGCAGTGAAAATGCCACCCATAAGAGTGTTACTTCTTACCATCATTTGGATTTACCCAGTCCGCACTTTTCCGTCGTTTCGGTGATGTTTTTGCGACCAATCGGATATGAAGACTGCTCAGACGGGAGAGCTAAAACAGTCTACAGCCTTGTGATTCCAGAAAAAAATGCCCAAGCAAGAGGCATACCTGCGCTTTTTTCCGGAATTTTTCGTAGTTATTCTTGAAAACTCTGGAGGTGTAATAGTGCTTGTAAGCGTTACCCATTAGTTTTTCGATAATCATTCCTATGTCAGGCAAAGTGAGGTAGGTAGTGGGTGAGGTATGTTCGACAAGAAATCGTACACTGTGCTCGTCATCGTCGTCCTGTGAAATTGCAATCAGGGAATTTTCAAAAAATAAGCAACAAAAACATAAACAAATGCCGGAAGTCCTGTAAAATTGCAATCAGGGAATTTTTAAAAAATAAGCAACAAAAACATAAACAAATGCTGGAAGGAGTATTTAACCCCATTTTCTGATTCCGGTGATTCGCCAACCCCATGCATTATAGTGAACCACACCCTAATACACCCTCAAAGATAAGGAGGGCGGTGGCTGCGCCACCTTATTTGAAGCAACAACGCCACGCGCCCTTTGAGAAGAATGTCGTCCTCTCTTGTGTTAATTATATTAATAATTATTGCATTAATAATGATTATGACTGCAGCATGACGGTAATATCCGAGCGAAACGCAGCAGCCGCGCTCTCAAGTGAACCGTACAGCCACGCCCACCCCTTCCCCAGGAGATGAAGTTATATGTTTCTGGATCTGAGCCAATCTGCCTTGCTAGGTAGGAGTGTGCTATTGTCAAGACAGGTTATGAAATCAGGTGATTAGTTTCACGTAATAAAGGCAACAGCTTAGCAACAGCGAGATGGAACGAATCTAAGCAGGGGTTAGGGAGTCGATAGGCATAGTCCGGGGAGAGTGAAGCCAAAGAATTTGGGTCTTGTGAATAAAGGCGTAAGGCGCCTGGGAAGAAGTAGGAGTTGAGCTTTGGGAAGGGAGGAGGCATTCGCGGAACCATGGCACCGCCGAGCAATTCGAGAAAAGGGATCGAGTTCCCTCGGTATTGATCTTGTTTTCTCGGTCGGGTCTCAGTGGGGTATTACCTGGAAGGAATGAAGCATCCGGAAAGTGATAGTAGAATTGGAGTGAAAAAGTTATCCGAGAGAGCTATCAAAGAGAATGAAAGAAGAGAACAATAGTAAAAAACAAAAGGAAACATTGCAGATGAAGGCGCAGTCTGCGCTGGTCGTAGTCGTGGAGCACCCAACAGTTGTATCTTCGTCATCGTTACGCCCCTACTTATGAAACGTCAAGAGGATGGGCGCACCAATGACCGATGCCCACTGACCGGTATCTCCGCCCACTCAGTGAGCGAGAACTGTGCTTCTGAATTATTTTTTTCAGTGAAGAGGCTGATAAGAATTGAACATACGAGGTTGTAAAGTTGCTCCAGTGTAGCTATAGTAAGGAAATTTTTCATAGATACTCCATTCTCCAATAGGCACTCTACAAAATCCACCTGAAAATCAATCGGAATTATCGAGTTCCCCAGTAATATTCAAAGCATTACATTCAAGAACGGCCGTGCAACATTTACAAAGGCTCCCCACAGAGAATTTTCTGTCGAGCTGACCTCAGCTCACAAATTGCAATTTTCAAAAAAAAAGCTGCTCGTCATTAGTTCAGGAAAGAGTAGCTAACCCGATTTAGACGAAGTGCGTCATGCATGGCAGAATGAAGGGCATGAATTGGCCAATGACGTCCTCCAGAAAAAAGGCACGATCGAGCGACATCAACTCGGTTCCACGATAGTGTTAGTGATAACTAAAATTATTCTTTATGAAGCGATCATGG